TTCACATTCCTCGTTCACAGTATCCTCAACCATGGCAATGTGAGACTTGCGAGAACCATATGCAGTTTTGCCGAGTGTAATGTGGGAGTTCGGAGAACCCTATGGTCTATGCAGTTTCGCCGAGTGGAGAACCGCCAACCAAACTCCAGTTCCGTTGCACAATATCCCGCCCTCTGATTCCCGAAAAAATTGAGGGTATTTCAATCTTTTTGGTGAATTATCTAAATTCCATGTTGATACCCCATGCCCATTTTGTGATTTTAGTAATTTACATGCCCATTTTGTCATTTCAGAATTCAACAGTCATTTTCTTATCATTTTCCCTAAATTATAATCAAAAGTTTTTTCAAAAATAAAATGTTTTTAGAGTCGTGTGAGGTTTTTAGAATCTCTGTAGGTTTGAAAGACTATTTTTCCATATGAGATTATGGGAATTTCTACAAGAAGTGTAATAAAAAATTCTTTCAAAGATAAATATTTTCTCTAAATAAAAATACAAAAAATTGTTTTCATATATTAAAGAACCCAAACCCAAAATATCTTTCTTAAACAAATAAATAAATATTTTCCTAAAAGACATCAACCAAGTGACACACATTTTTACCCACGAACTATATGGGTTTTAATCCCCTTAAATGGTACGTAGGCCCTTAGCTTTTATCCTCTGTCAAGTCTTCCTCCGTAAATAAACTATTTTTTCCTTTTAATCTTTTCCTTTTTGTAAATAAATTTTTTTTATTTTTATTTCTTTTTAAAGGGTAATTAAACTATAATAATAGGTCATATTATATTTGAGTAATTAACTTAGAATAATTATTCTCTTAAACAGGTATTGTGGAGTGCCTAATATCTTTCCCACACACAATCGACTCCCCAATCCTATTTAGCTTTTGTAAACCATGCTTTTTAGGTTTTCAAAATTATCCTTTAAAAATTTTGGTAGCAACTCCTTGTTCTTTCCTTTTACGAAAAGATCACAATTCGGGTGCAACAGTTTACCGTGAATAACCCATGTTGTCTAGGTCCACAAGAAATATTAAATGGAAATGAAATTAATAAAAATAATAAAAGAATAATAGTAAAAGAAAAAAATCCTCCTTGATTCTTTTTTGGAAGCCAAGTTTGAAAAGTCCACCATGTAGCAAATCAAAAAAAAAAATTAAATAAGAATATCCTCCTTATAATAAATGGCAATAAAATTAAAGATGAGAATTTAAAGCCGATGACCTCCAAATTAGGAAATACAGAATGGATTCTTTACAAAAGGAAAATAAAATATTCAAAAATCAAAAATCAAAATCCATCATTTAAAATTATTAGCTCCTTAATGTAAAAATATCTTTTCATGTCATTATTGTGAAAAATTTAAAAAAACAAAAACAGAAATAAAAATCACAATTGATGATAATTATTTGTTTAAACAGGAAGTCATATTATGAGTCACAGTTGAGGAAAAAACAAAAATAAAAAGAAAATTGGAAAACCCTAACTTGAGCCTATAAATAGGAGAGTAATGGTTAGAAAAAGACGTATAAAGAGTTCTTTTCTAAGAAAGAAGTGCAAGCCACACACTTTCGCCACATACAATTGACTCCTAAACCTTGTTCGGTTTTATAGACCATTTTTTTAAGGTTTCCAAAGTTATCCTTTAAAAACTTTGATGGCAACTCGTTCTCTTTTCTTTTTACGAAAAGATCACAATTCGGGTATGAAAATTTGGCAATTGTAGTTGGGATCAACTCCATTAAATAGGTAATAACTAAAATGAAGTCTTCATAATAACCTCCAAGGCCCCACAGGAAAAATGTTAAAAATTTTCACTCACTAAGGCACTCACCAACAGGTGTACAGGGCCAACATGTGTGTGAGGTAGATAGTGTGAGTGTTTAGTGTGTGTGGAGAGCATAGAAACTTGTTGAGCTAGCTCTTACCTAACCCTTATATGCTAATTAGATCACAAAATAAATAAATAGAAAGTAAAAAAGACAAATAGGAAAAACATGAATAGAAAACAAATAATATAAAAATATAAGAAATAAATAAAAGATAAATAAACAAATAAAATAAGTGTAATAAAAATATAACTAAGGCCATATTATTTTGAATGATCAATTTAAATGAGCTTGACTCTCTACAAGTCTCCAGTGCAGTTGTCAAACTGTCACACTCAAATCATAATCTTTCTGTGAAAGGAAAGGAGAAGAAATCACCACCAAAATGTTTAAAGGATAACTTTGAAAACCTAAAAAACATGGTCTACGAAAACTAAAAAGGGATCAAGAGTCAATTATCTTGTGGGGTGTCTAACATCTTTCCTACATAGTCGATTTCCGAACCCTATCTGATTTTCATAGACCATGCTTTTTAGGTTTTCAAAATTATTATTTAAAAACTTGGTAGCGACTCCTTCTCCTTTCCTTTTATAGAAAGATTACAATTCGGGCACAATAAGTTGTCAAGCAAGTCCCTTACACTTGTTAATGGCATTCTATACCAAAAATCTGATATAAACCAACCATTTAATCTCATATCACTTTCCATATTCTAATCACATATGCTTTCAGCTACAATTTGGTTATATAATACTTTTTTATTATAATTTGATATGATATAAACCTAATATTATCTCAGAAATTAAGTTGTCAACTTAAGCTCATGACTTGCCAATAGCTTCACATTGACATGTTAAGGAACGCCCTTACACTTGTCAATAGCATTCTATGCAAAAAATTCTGATATAAACCTGTTATTTAATCTCATATCACTTTACATATTCTGATCACACATGCTTTTAGCTTAAATTCAATTATATAACATTTTTTGTTATAATTTGATTTGATTTGGATTGAGCTATCAACTGATACCCCCTGATATCTCAATAGCTACACATTAACCTGTCAACAGTATTCTACGCAAAAAATTCTCACAAAAACTTATTATTTAATATCCAATAACTTTGCATATTCTAATCACACATGCTTTCAGCTTACACTGGGTTATACAACACATTTTTGTTATAATTTCATATAGTTTGAACCTAATATTATTTCAAAAGTTAAATTATCAACTGAAACCCCTTGACTTCTTAATTAGTTCATATTGACTTGTCAATCCACACCTTTACATTTGTTAACGGCATTCCACAAAATTCATATATAAACCTCATATATATTCATTTCAACACACAATCTACATTTCAAAACCTTCATCAATCACATAGATCATATCAATACACATGAATTATACAATGAAGTCATTACACTAATTATAAAATTAAGGTTCATTGTCCAAAATACAAATTAAAATAACATATGTTGGAGTTTTTTTTTTCCTTCCTCTTGCTTTGGCGGTTCCACGTAGCAAAGTCAACAGTTCATCACCATACAAGTTGTTCTTTAAATGACCTACTCCCCCTTAAGGTTGTCTTCTTTTTTCTGCAATTGATGCTATCATTCTTCTCAATCTTCATATGTTGAACCTTCTTTTATGGTTCTTATTCTCACACTATGCCCAACATATTGTATTTCACTTTTTTTACTATTAAATTCTCTCCCTATACGAGAGAAACAGAACAGATGCTTCCTATTTGAATTCACCATCTTTTATATAAACCTATGACAAACACTTGTTATTGACAAGTAAAATAGTTATATTGACGACCTTCGATGCATCTATTAACAACACATTTTGCCTTCACATAATAGGAGTTCTAAGACCAAAAACTTCTGCCACATTCATTCATTTTCACTGGGCACATAGAAACAGAGCATAATAGACCAAAAAACAAAGCATAAATTCATAACCCTATCTACACATAATGAAACAACACCTAAAATGATTAAGACAACATACAATTAAAATGGGCCAGCCACTCCACATATGAGCCAAAGCATATCCCCAGTACCGACACACCCACATCTAATCAAAATTCAAATCAAGATTAAACTTTTATATTATAGGGAAAAAGAATATAAATGTTGTGAATGATCAGACCTACGAAGACAATGAAGCAAAAAGATAGCTCCATTGGAATAATGAAGATAATAGCACTAATTGTAAAGCTTGTTACCTTACTCGTGTGCCAGAAAAAAATGCGCGGACTGACATCTCTTTTCTTTTCTTTTCTTTTCTTTGTTTTCCTTTTCAATCAGTGAGGGCAAAAATATCTTTTCACAATTCCAATGTTTTACTCACAGGTTCGTGGGAACTTTACATTAATTTCAACATTAGAAAGGACTCTATAGCTTGGGACTTGTGTGTAATTTTTGTTTTTATGTGAGCTACCTTTGCCTATATTACAAATTATCACAAAGGTTTATCAAGAAAAGGTCAAGTGTTCGCTTCGACGAAATCCAGAACTACAAAACGAGACATCACCAATAATTCACTTAATTCATCTATACATTAATTGATAGCAATAAAACATGAACAGAGTTTCTTTAGTGTGAAAAGATGTTACCATTATTCATATCCAGAGATATAACAGATGCACAAGATTCAGTCTTAGGCTTTATTGTTCTTAATTTCTTAACAATAGAAACAGCCATAAACTTTGAGGGTCAACTTCAAAATAACAAATAACAGCACCCTACATAATAGACCAGAAACAGTTCCAGAGCAGAAACAAGTTCATAATAAAGCTCTTTACATGTTTAATAAGAGAAAGGAAAAATTGATGACGACCATCCTTGTCTCGTCACAGACGCATAAAACTTAACAGTGGGGAGAATAACTAACTCTGACACAGAATCAGGTTCTATCAGTTAGCCAAGCACCAGCACAAAACATCATCCAACACTTTTTCCGCAGAGAAAATTGAAGTAACAAAATTAATCTAATCCAAGGAAAAGAAAATTACAGGTTTCGTCAAGATCACACCTGCTTGGCGCCACTGTCAGCTGCTCAAAAGCTAACGCTGTAGCATTGAGCAATTAAAAATGTCAGGTTTCAAATGGCTTAATTCTCTGCGGGATATCTGATCCACATTACACTCTTGAACCTTGGCCAAACAAGACTCCAACTGACAGAATTCATTTATACTTGCTAAAACCATAGTTGAGTTCAAACGGAACATCAGATTGAATCCATTATACTCTTGATCCATCAGAGGAATTCCAACAGAGAGAGAATTAAAATTGTACTCAAATGGAACTGCAATCTAAAGGAAAATAATTTCAACTTAGTTTCTAGGTCCTAAGGTTATGGAAAATAAGACTTGTGAGACATGCATCAACATTGGATTAGATCCTGTTAATGCAAATTAAATCTAACCAGAGGATTTGATCCCTTGAACTTTCCATTTACGAGCATATCATAGGAAGTGTCATCAGCCACAAGACCTCTATCAAGCATCTCGTCATGCAATCTAATTGCCTCTTGTAAATTGCCCTCCCTAAAGAGTCCAGAAATTAAAGTGTTATAAACAAGAACAGTAGGAGTTATATTACTCATATACATTTCTTCCCGGATCTTTAGAGCATTTGATACTTGTCCTCGTTTACAGAGTCCATTTATCAGAGTAGTGCACATGATCATATCAGGCACAACACCCTTGGATAGCATCTCTGAGTAAAAATTTGAAGCAAGGGCCAATTTACCCTCTTCGAGAAGCCCAGCGACCAATGTTGTGTATATTTGTAAATCGCATGGAATTTTCTCATTAATCATTTTCTTGTGCAAATTCAATGCTTCTTCCATATTTTTCAAATTTCTAAAACCACTGATCATGCTATTATAAATAACGGTGTTAGGAGACAAACCAACCTCCAAGAGCTCAGAAAACAGTCTGCAAGCATTTTCCATGTCTCGCTGTTTGCAGAACCCATCAATAAGAGCACCGTATGCAGTAATATCCAATTCAAAACCAACATTTCTCATATCATCATGCATTTTCAAAGCAAGACCAATGTCATTGCTTTTGCAAAGTCCATTAATCAAAATGGTATAAGTGATAACATTTGGTGGGATTCCATCTTCAGACATCTTCTTGTACACAGACAATGCTGTAGTGACTGCACCTTCCCTGACATATCCATTGATGATGCAATTGTAAGTCCTTAATGTAGGAACAAAACCCTTCTCAGCGAACTTGTTCAACATATTCCTTGCCTCAGACGTCCGACCAACTTTACACAAGCCATTTATAACCGTGTTAAAAGTGAAATCTGTTGGCGCAATTTTTGCAGCCACCATTTGGTCAAACAGATTGAGTGCATGTTCAGAGTCACCTTTTGTGAAAAATCCATCTATTAAAATAGTATATGTATAGTAATTTGGTTTTAAACCTGCTTTTAGAATCTCATTCATCACCCTAACTGCATCATCAACATGACCCTTTCTACAGCTGCCAAGTATCATGCTGTTGTAAGAGACTATGGAAGGCACAATGCCCTTAACCATCATCTTATCCCACAAATTATTAGCCTCATTAATCTTGCCCTGATCACAGAGCCAGGATAAGAGGACATTATATGTCACAACATTAGCAGTACCATGCTCAAGTGCCTCATCGAACAATCTATTTGCATCTTCTTGCAAATCCTGTTTCAAGAATCCTTTTAGAAGGCAATTGAAAATAAAGGAAGTAGGCTGGATGCCCATGAGTTTCATTTGGGAGAAAATTTCATATGCCTTCTCCATATTCCCAATCTTAGAGCACCAATTGATCAAAAGAGAGAAAGTATCCTCGTCAGGAGCAAGTCCAGCCTCAAGTGTTTCATTGAACAACTTTAATGCAGTAGTAATATTCCCCTGCATGCAATACAATTTTATCAAACTTTTTGTGACTTTGATGTTCATTGGTATATTACTGTTCACCATCTCATCCTTAAGCCTCAATGCCTCTGTGACATTTCCATGCTTCGCACAAGCACCAATGGCACGTGTATATGTGCCCTCAGAGGGCACCCAACCCATATCTTGCATCTCCTTCAGTAGACTACACACCAACATTAAGTTAGGCCACTTGCAAGCAGCTTGAATAACGATGTCATATTCCAAAGCATCAAGTTTTGGCCTTCCAGCCCTAAACTCTTTGAAATACTTTTCTGCCTTTTCATGATACCCTTGTATTAAACATGCAGACATTACTTCATCTAGTGTAAAACAATTGCCATAGATTCTTCTTCGAATCATTTCATCATACAAATCTAGTGCTTCATCAATCATGTTCCCCTTAACCATTGCTTTCAAAAGGCGATTCATAAATTGGACCCAAGGATCAATATTTTGATTTACCATCGTTTTAAAACAATCAACAGCATCTTTGAGTTTATTAGCTTTAACATAACTATTCATTAAATAGTTGACAACCCGAGAGCTTGATTCAAGCTTGTACCTTCCTGCACACTCAACTAGTAGTTGCACAAATGCACTAGGAGCTAAATCTGAATGACCAACAATATAGTTGCCGAGCAGATCCTGAGCAACCCCACGAGTCTTGGAGTGAAATGTCAAAATATGAAGCAACAAACAGAAAGCATCAGCGGTTTTTATAGAACCCCATTTACATTCTATTCCCTTGAAGAACTTTAAAGCTGCTATGGGCTGGTTCTTGTAACTTAATAGGGTGTCCACGACATGCTTTGAAGTTGAAACAAAATCACCCACGATGGGTTCAATGAAGTCAGCATTTGGCGGATCCTCACAACATAAGCTTTCATCCAAATCAATTGCAGATGAAACTCCTTCCATATGATTCGATTTCGATGTGATTTGCTCAGGATAATTGTCACTTGAAGTAAAAGTGGAATTTGATGTTTCCAGGTCTACATGAGGCTCACTAGGGAGACGTGCCTTCGAGCACAAATTGCTTAATCGTAAGAAAAAACGAAGCTTGTGCTGAGGGATCAATGACATGTTGGTGGAAGGTATCTTCCACATTACCTAAATTGTTTGGTGAGTCATTGTGAAAAAAGAAAGCAAACCCAGAAACACAGCAGGTGGCTACAATTGCAGCGAATACAGAATGAAACAAGTCCGCAGCAGAGTCAGCTTCTCTCCACCAAACCTTCCCTCTACTGCCTCTCCACTAATTCAAAACGCACTGTTTTGCTTCCCAAAACAAAATCTGAGCTGTTACATCTAGCCACTCAAAATGGGTCCTTAATTGCAAATTCCTTGCAGTTTCTCACTCTTCTTCCTTCAGCAGTGGTGTTCACGTTGAATTTTACTGTACTTCCACTTCCTTCAGCTAGCAAACGAGAGAATACCACTTCATTTGACAGCCCCAAAAGGAGATTCAGGTTGCTACAAAAGCTCCTCCTCTACCTAATCCAACTTGAGCCAATACTGCAACGACAGATCGAAGATTAGAATTAGAATTAGAAATTTCAGAGCAAGCCAGTAATTTAAAGTCACATAACTTACTAGCAATTTCCAAGACATTTAAAGCCATAAAGCAGCTAGAAACTATGATCATTACACCCAAACCAGATAAGCAATCATCTCTCTAATTTCATAGGAAAACTACGTCAATCACAACAAATTCAATTAACATTACAAACAAAAAAATAGATGCCGCGGTAATGGCCCACAGACTGAAGAGGATAGCAAAAAATTGTCAAAAAATTCCTGCAATCCCTACTATTCAGTGAAGCGATTTCCACCATTATAATTAACATAATTTAAGCTGCACAAAAACCTATATATACACGCACAATTATATGACACCGAAAAACAAATTCAAAGTACATACACATATGAGCATATGAGATGCCTAACATTGGCCTCTACAAAAGTATGCGATCATTTATTCATCCACCACGCTTAATTGCTAGCAAGAAATTATAACAATTAAGTAATATATACTTATCAAACTAATCAAATACTTTATCTAACATGTCAACTTGCTTCAACAAGTGGATAACAAAATTGAACAATAACAACAAGCATTATCCCACTAGATGAGGTTGGCTACATGGATCACACAATGCTATTATGCTCTATCGACAACCAAAACTTTAGATCTATTGTTAAACAAATCTTTAGATACATTTTTCTCTTTGGTCCTCCTCTTCTCCTTTTCAAATGACTATAAACTATCTAATCTACCCTCCTTAACAACGCCTTTAATAGCCTTCTTTGTATATATCCAAACCACCTTAAATGATTTTCTATCGTATTCTCTTCAATATATTCCATGTCAGCTCTTTTTCATATATGTTCCTTACAAATCTTATCTATTCTTGTATGACACATCTCTATTTCAATATCCTCATCTGTGTTACCCCAACTTTATGCTCTTGTTGTGCTGTCATATAATATTACTGGTCATATAGCAGTTTGATAGAACTTCCCTTTAAGCTTATTTGATACTTTCCGAACTCATATAACTCCTGCAGCGTGTCTCCATGTGAACCACTAACTATGAGTGGGATGCAGAATATGGTGAAGTCTCTCCCTTTCTCTTCATTTATGCAAAAGCCGAAGAAGAACTAATTAACATGCTGGCAGTGGCTGATATAATTCAATCTAAAAATAATAGAAAACACATATAAGCTGAAATGATCTAAAATCTGAATAATGACATATACTCTGGTCGCCAGGAAAAAAGTAGATCACGAAAGATTCCTACAAGTTTACTTTAGACAAATGCAAGTACTATGTGTGCGGGATATAGAATATTGCCAAATCTCTCTCTTTCTCATCTTCTATGGAAGTACCAAAGAGGAACTAACTACCATGTTGGTTGTGGCTGATACAATAGAAACTTCAAAAATCCAAATAATGGTATATCCAGTGATCGTTCCCACACAAATTCTAACCAGATCATCAGTTCCCTTAGCACCACCAATAAAATAAAAGAAGATAATGAAGCACGGATGCATGAAAATTTAACACGAATGACTTAAAGACAATCTCAGTTAAGCAGAAGATCCGCAATACTATGGGGTGCGGGGATTCAACCCATATCAACTCGCACCCAGAGCTCACATTGAGCAAAAATTATTTATTTATTCAGCAAAGTCAACAAGAAGAAGAAAGGCGACGGACCTGGAGCAAGAAGGAAGAAGCAAGCAAACACACGAATAGTCTTGCAGAGGTGACGGCGGAGGGCAACAAGCTAGACTGGTCAAGCACGACGGCCGGCCAGAAGCACACGACGCAGAGGCTACACGTGAAAAGCAGATGCGATAAGAGAGTGGAGAGGCCGAGAGAGAGTGAACAAGAAGTCGGGAACGGCAGCACGAGCGGTAGAAATTACTGAGTGTTTGGGTTGCCGGTGAAAAAATAGATTTTTATTCTCTTTTATTTTTATAAATGTGAGTTGGAGTAAAAGTTAATCAGCATAATGTAATTTATGTTTGGATTGAAAGTCATAAAAATTCAGTTTAAAAAGTTAAATCTTATTTGGATAGATAATTAAAAAAATAAGTTTAGATGTAAAATATCTAAAAAAGATAATAATTTTTATATAAGACCAAAAAGATTAAGAATATAAATAAATATTTTAAAAAGATAATGTAATATATAATATAATTAATTAGTTATTTGGCTTTTTTAATATCTTCATATTAATCTATTAGAGTCTTATATTAAAGAGTCAAGATAATATGCCATACTAGTACTCTGTGTACAAAATTTAAATAGTATCGGTATTTCATGAGTATAAAATTTTATTAAGTCTTCCCTACCAATTAACTTTTTAGTAGGACTTTTTTCCTAATTTTTTCTAAATTTTATTATTTAATTTTTTTCTTTTAAATATTTTTATACCTCTCAAATTATAAGGTTTGTTGGGGTAATTTTATCTTTTTTTTTTATTGATATTTGTCCACGTTCTCACTGGAAAAAGCTTCTCAGATTAACTTCCACATTAAATGAGCTTTTTCTCTAAAAGTTAGTTTGAGAAAAAGCTAATCCAAACAATTGTCCAAGCTCACAACAATGATCAATGCACGTTTGCCCTTCTCAACATCAATCCAAGCATGCTTGGAAAGTTCAAACTGTGAAGAGAATGCAATACACGATTGGATGTCATAAGAATGCGGCAACTCAAAATCAAAAGGGATGGGCTTGACTCCTTTTTTTTTTGGTATAGGTTAAACTTTACATTGATTTTGGGGTGTTTGAGATAAGTATGTGGAAAAAAAAATTAATTTGATGCAAAAAACACCAACAAAGAGGTTTGAATTCCTTTTCTTAATGAGAAAAAGCACTAAAGTAGCTAACGAACAAGAGAAGACCACTTCATTTAACAGCCCGAAAAAAGTAGTTTTGGTGCCCATCATTGATGAGTATTATGGTACTTATCATTGAGGTAAAATCTACACCATTCAAATATAATTTTAATAGTTCATATTTAAAATTTTTAAGTAATGATTTTAAAAAAATTATTTTTCAAAAAAAACTTACAGTTAAAAGCAATGAAGAAAAAACTGGTCCGGACCGACTAGTTCAATCAGAAAACCGGTAAACCGGTCTCTGATCCGGTCTGGTTGAGGGAAAAAACCGGACAATGTTCAAATTGGTAAAAAACCAATTCAACCAGTAAGAACCGATAAAAACCGGATAAACCGCCGGTTAAGATGAGTTACCCAGTTTGATGATTTCAATCTTCCAACCTCAGGAAATGAGCTCGTTTTACATTTAAAAAAAATTTTAAAAATTAAACACAATGAATATTTGGAGAAAAAACTGAAAAAAAAAAAAAAAGAAGAAGAAACTCTAAATCTCTCTGCAAGTCTATCTAGAATGCTAGAACTCATTTGTGTCCATCGTTGCTAAGCCGTGGTCTTCACTCTTCACTTCTTGCTTTGTCACCGCCACTGTTAGTACTATCTATCTTCATCTCAATATTCGACCCACCAACTCAGCTTATGTTGCTCATGGAAGATAAGGAAAAAAGAGAGGGGGGAGAGAGAGATCGTGATTGAAGATTTGAAGGTAAGGACGAAGAGAGAACAAAGAAGAGAGCAAAGGCTTAGTGAGAAGAGATAAGATCGGCGTGTAGGTGCAGAGGAGTGAAAGTGTGAAACAAAAGACAATGGTGTGATTTGATGGGTCGGTGGCAAGAGGGAAAGAGTGGAGGAAAAAAAACTGGAAATTTGAAATAATGGATCCATGTGGCAGAAGGCAAAGAGTGGAGGAATAAAAAAAACTGAAAACTTGAAAAGGTAAAACAGGCCACATGATTGAAGATAAAGGATGTGAAATAAAAGTAAAAAAAATAAAAATAGAAAAAATTTTGATGTATGAAGAAGAGAGAGAATTAAAAGGAAAAAATTAATTAATTAATTAAATATTACTTTTTTGGTTAAAATAGGAATATTCTTGCATATTTTAATTAAATGACATTATTTTAATTATTATTGGTTTGACACGGTCTAACCCATTAACCCTTAACCCAGTGTCTCACCCAATTTACTGACCAGTCCGGTTTTTTGTTCCTTGGTTAAAAAATTGCATTTAATCTACCTACTAAAGGAAAATATTTTTAAAAAAAACAAAAATATAAAAATTAAATCTCAAATATTCATTTTAAATTTAAATAGTTGAAATTTGATGAGCATCATGATGTTTATCAATATAATAAGCATTAAAACGATCCCGTTAAGAGCTACCTTTTACAATGGGTCCACCACTTTATTAGCTTCTCGTCCACTACGTACTTCCTAATCACAATCGAGTAAGTCCAGGATTTCCCCCACGACCATGTTCTGCTCATCTAGTCATCTTCCTTTAGCCCTTTGTCTCCAAGAAGATTCACCAACTCCAAACAATCTGACTCGAGAATGACATGGCGAAGCTCCTTCTCCCAAGTCACCGTTAAACCTTAGAGCATCACCTAGGCTTCTGCTACAAAGCTATCACCACATCCAATGTTGAATGAAAAGTCATTTCCTTAAAACCACAATTTCATAATAGTTTGCTACCATGGTTATAAAGAATCCGGTGTAAAATGAAAGTCCTCCAAACCAATAACAATAACAGGTAAGCCACAAGGCACACTAACTGCCCACAGAACCATCCCAAAAATCCATCGTATAAAGAACTAG